AAATTTGAATCTACACTACCTGAGGATGCTTCCATATAAATATGATGAACTATGGCTTTGTCATTCTTGAGAAGAAGATTTTTAAAGAATTTTCCCATATATTTCTATGTAAAACTTTGGTCGGCCATTTTGGCCCCACCCTACCCCCGGGGGTCATGATTTGAACAAATTTGAATCTACACTACCTGAGGATGTTTCCCCATAAGTTTCATCTTTCCTGGCACAGTGGTTCTTGAGAAGAAGATTTTTAAAAGATACCACCCATTTTTCATTAATTCCCAATTATCTCCCTTTGAATGAGGGCGTGGCCCTTCAGTTGAACAAACTTGAATCCCCTTCACCAAGGGATGCTTTGTGGCAAGTTTGGTTGAAATTGGCCCAGCGGTTCTTGAGAAGAAGTCGAAAATGTGAAAAGTTTACAGACAGACGGACAGACAGACAGACGGACAGACGGACAGACAGACGAACGCCGGACAAAATGTGAACAGAAAAGCTCACTTGAGCCTTTGGCTCAGGTGAGCTAATAAAAAACTTTAACGGACATCTATTTTAATCAAAAGAGATTAATAAGTCAAATCATGAAAACTAAATCATTAAAAAGCGTCTTTTGCTTTTTTTCGAGCCCCGATGACATTATTTATTGAACGTCCCTCGTAATTGTGAATTTCTTCGGCCCAGGGTAAAGGGTTCTGGGTTAGAGGCTTTATGAATTGTACATAGATAGTGAAAATACAATAATACTTTTAAAGTCTTTTGATCTATTTCTGGATTAAAGAAGACTAACTACATGTATAGCTACATGTATGATGAGCAAGAGTCCATCCAGAATTGTGAATTTCAAGGTCCCTGGGACAGGAAAAATGTAGAGGGATGGGGGCTCTAATTTAAAACTGAAAATGAATAAATACTTTGAAATCTGCTCATTGGTATTATTCGAACATTAAAATAAGCAAGTGTGCCTTTTCTGAAATTGTAAAATGTGTGGACCAAAGGTCAGGGGTTATTGGAGGGTAGGGGCACCACTGATTATTGCTGAATATTATTGATTAGATGAAAATTTATTTAATTGAGCAATTTTTGTTAACATTGAAATACTTTAAAACTTGTAGGTTTACTACAAAAGCAGGGCTATCTACAAAATCTATTTTGAAATCCTTTTATGTAGATTATTTCTTTAGTCAGGGTAACATTTAATCATTCTTTGAACGATCACCGTGAATTAATTCTAAGAGTTACTTCCCTCCTCTCACATTAGGTACATTTTCCTTCTTTTTCTCAGTGTAATGGGGAGTGGTCTGAACTTAAAACTATGAGAAAGCTTGTTTACAACTTAACATATTGCTATATTCATAAATCAATTAAAAGAGACCCCTTAATAAAATATATATATAACTTGTCCGTCCAGTAATAAAATATGTGGATTATAATATTATGGTATATTTTACATATTAAGGGCATTTGATTGTTTAAACGTACTGGTCAATAATTGTTACATGTACCGAGCATAGTTCAAAATGTGCAGCTCTCCACCGGCAAGTAGTGGCGTCTCCGTGTTCGTGAAAAATTTTTGAATGGGACGTCAAACAACAAAAACAAACCTTATTCCTTACATTTAACCTTTCGTTTCGCATGAATTGACTTGTGCCAGGGAATGTATCCCGCTGCGTTAATAATAAATCGTGAAAAAAATCAATGCGTTTGAGAAACTCTCTTGAGCTTAATAGAAAATGTGACAGATAATAAATTACGAGTGTTTGTGAAATATTCCCCACTGAACGATTTGTACGTTTTTATGTCATAATTGAAAGGACACAAGAAAGTATCAACAAAAATGTAGCTGGAACATTTCTAGTTGAAGCCCCCCCCCCCCTAAAAAAAAAAACACAAGGGTCAAATAAGGAAGACAGCAAATTCCTCAAAACATGTTAAAAATTAAAAGATACATGTATATGAAAAACACTGATGAGAATGGTGTTCAATGCAAAAAAAAAATTACGTTAAAAACAAGTAAATTAACAACTATGAATATAACAACATAGATTAAAATGCATTTTTCAGTGATTGTTTTTTTTTTTTGCATTCTATTACTAGCGATAACTTTATCAAAAAAATTATATTCAAAAAGCAAATAAGGGTAAACTGTTATGAGCTATAATAAACAGTAAGCCTCAATCGTTCATGCTTCAGACCTCTGGATTGGATTATGGTGCCCATATAATGAAAAAAATGTTAAACCTTTGGATACAAATCTGCTCTGCTGGTTTTTTTGTGATTAGAAATGTTAGATACTATTACAGAGTGCACAATGTCACACAATATATTTACTTTATTTTATTCACCAGCACCACAAAGAAAGCCAAGGACTACAGCAACGTCCACCACAATCCCTTCAACGACAGCCAGAAGAATATATCCTTCTAAAACGACAAAAAAGTTAATAACCACTCCTGCAACAACGACAACAATTGTCCAGTCAACGAAACTGACAATAACTCTTTCTTTATCAACAAATGCTTCAATACTATCATTGGTATCTTCAACAATACGAAGACAGGCAACGTATACCAGGGAAAAAACAAAGCCAACGCTATTAACAACACACCTGTCAGCAACGTCTACGTCAAAAACCTCAATGTTCACAGTTATAATTTATAAAAAAAATTTCATACATGCTATAAAGTCTAGAATCTGAACAAAAACAGCACCAAATATTTAATGATCGAGAATACTATAATATTTTAGTATTACACATAAGTTCTACAACAATATTGCATTACAATTTTATTTATAGATTTAATTGAAAAGGAAATGAAAAGGTATCAACAGTCAGAAAAATATATATTGAGAAAAGTTAAACTCCTCATTTATCATAGTTTGCAATAAACGCTTTTTAAAGATTAATATCCAAATATGTCTTGTTGTGAGGTCAACGAGATAATATCGAATCAACGTTTGACTGAAAGTTAAAATTATTAATTGAAACATCATCGTCAAGACATAGAAGAGCATCGTACATTTTTAATGAAGCACTACTCCAAACTTTTTGATGGTAAATTCTTGACAAATAAGTTTATAAAACAAGAATATCAGCGCTCTCGTTTAAAGTAATCATTTCGTAGGTTCTATAGTCGATACAATGACCTTGTCAGAAAATACAATTTATCATTGAGTCAGTCCATTATATATACACTGAATTGACGACAGATGTTTCCATTATTTCCCGATCATAAGAAGGAGCACACGGTGGGTGTGACCGGTAAGCGGAGGATGCTCCTTCCTCCATGGCACTTGATCCCACCTTTGGTGTTGTGGATGTCTGTTTTTGCTCTGCTCCTATTTTGTATTGTTTTATAGACTTTTGATCTTGAATGCTGTTCGTTATTTCCATATGTTTCATGTTTTTTGCAGGAGCTTCTTATCACGTGATATAAGTAAAATATATAGACCTTAGCAAAGAGACTTACACGATATCGCTGGAATCGGTACCGGCACAAAATATTATGTATCAGTGGCGGATCCAGGAATCATGAAAAAGGGGGGAGTGAAAAGTTGGGGTAGGTGCCCACAGCCACACCCAAAATCTTGATTTATAAAATCGTATGTATATTTTGGACACCAAAAGGTGATTGGACCCACTTCTTTCTCTAAATCTGCACATATTATCAATGATATATAAATCATTGGCATGGGGGACAACCTTCCACTAAGATGCTTTAAATATAAGAATCCTTGAAAGTTCGAAAGGAAGATATTGAGATAACGAACAGTATTCAATATCAAAGTCCATAAAACAAAACAAAATCGGAGCAGAGCACACACGGTCCTATGAAACATCAGAGGTGGGATCAGGTGCCATGGAGGACCGGTAACACCCGCCGTGTGCTCCTTGTCATGATCGGGAAATAACGTAAATAATTCTAAAACTGCCTCTTGTAGGCAAATACTCCTTATTTTCGAGAGTCTATATTTCTTCTAAAAATTAAGGGGAAAAAGGACCTAAAGCAGAAAAAAAATACTTGACATTCATTTTCTCCTTATTTTGCTTACTAGTTTTTCTAATTTAGTTTGTTCCACATATCTGAAAGCAGCTATTCGATTAGATTTGTTACCTTATATTAGAGAAACTGATTAAAAAATACTATACCCTACAGCTCTAAGTGAAGTTTTGATTTCCCATCCAAATGATTTCCTAAAAAAAATCAATGGTATTTTATCATTATACCTTAGCAAAAATAATGAACCGGAGCTTTATTTTCAGGTAAACGCTACAAAATATTTTAAACTGTCATTTTTATAATAAAAAAGAAAGAAAATCATATATTAATATGGGATTTTTTTACCAGTCAGAAAGAAAACAACTACAGCTGTATTTATCCAGATTCCCTAGGTTCTCTGAGCAGTAAACGGTTAATTACTCGTGTTTACATACTTTTTACCTACTTCATGTGTTGAAAAGATATTAAATCGAATATCGCTTTCGGGATAACATGTGACATAGTTTCAAATTAAAATGAAAAAGCTTTGTTTTTATACAATTTTATTTTCATCATGAAGTACGTTGGAGAGTTATTTGAATTAATTATGACATGATGGATCTGGCACAAAAAACAGTCTTAACCCATTAACTACAATTTGGCTTTGACGTGCTCAAGTTCTCAAAAATATACAAATGCGTTTTCATGCATTTTATGATTTTTTCATGCTTCTTTTAATCAAAGTTTAATTTACATTCATCAATCAATTTGTATGAGCATCTGTATGCCTCATTACATGTACTTACAATCTTACAAATTTATACATTGAACTTATCATAAATATTTCACGTAAAATTAATTTTTATTTGTAGTTCACGTGGTATGCACGCAATTTTGTCGCGTGTATATTATATCTGTTCATGTATACGATTATTTCAGATGATAAGATGTAAAAAATACATAGCATAAGCTTCAAATCTTGAATAAATTTAACGTAAATATAACTGTTTTATAATTTTTCAGGCTACATGATTATTGGAATATGCATTTTTGAAGCTTTTCTGATTGTTATTGGAGTACTAATTGTAAAGCGATATCGTTCAAGGTAAAATTATTTAAAAAACAATAAAATTTCAATTTGATAAAGTTGAGATTTGAATAGTGTCTAACAAATGAATAATTCACATTTAATTATCCAAGAAACTTCATTTTATACATTCTCAGTGTTGAAAAAATCTTTCCTCTTAGATACAGTGCATCAAAACAGCGTATTCCTTTAAAGGAACCGACCGATACTGATGGTTTATATACCCCCTCGACAAAGAAAGGAACTGATATGGCTTACGAATCGATACCCCTGGAGTTTGATTTGCCAAGTAACGTCAACAAGAATGAGGAAGTTGTTTACGTAGAACATCCTGATAATGTCTATGATAGCACACTGATCCGTAGACCTCACGTTTTCCAGCAAAACAACATTTACCAGACAAATGAAGGCATCTACAACGTAACCTAAAAGAGATCATGACATAAACTATGATTCAAATCCATACCAATCTCAATGATTAAACACCTTCACATGAAAAGAAAGAAAAGTAATACAAATCACGTTTCATATTCTATTTTATTATTTTTTTTATGAATACCTTAATCCTTGAGCGTACAAAAAAGATATATAATACGGAATCGACTTTTGTATTCGGGATATACATGTAGACACTACATATTTTTTTCAGTTTTGCGAAGAAGAGGAAAATGCATAGGACTATGAACCTTAAAAATGCAAGTGTCTACCTGTTCTAAAAAGCATTCAAGGAAGAGTTGTCCTCAATAAGACATTTCCTATTCTTCCAATGCGGTTAAAGTCATATTCCTCAAATTATGATCAAGAAAACTTTCTAAAATATAAGGAAAATGTTTATTATCGTTTGAATTTCAGCCACTGATAGCCAATCAGGTTCCGTTTTATAAATAGAAATTATTATAATTTTAATTCTTTGAAAATGAAGATAGAAATTAAAATTAATTTCCTGTGTATGTACACTATTTATATAATAGTGCTGCATTATGCATGTACTATGCCTAAATAGTAGGCAGGGTTTGACACATGGTGCACGAGCCGGAGGCGAGTAGAGACGAGCTGACAGGAAGCATAATTCATAATCGTTTAACTATGTGATATGATTTTAAGTATTTTACGAATCAAACAAGATAAAATGGTTCCTTTTCATTTGTATTTCCCATCTGTCACTTTAATTAATATACTTACACTGATATATTTAGAAAACCAGAAGATTTTTTCTTCTAATGGTGAGTGGTCAGATGATCAAAGCAATTGTGGAAAAGTGGAAAATTATTATTTGTTGATTATGGTACCAACAGGTGACGCGTCTGTCTTTCATTAATTCACAATGCAGATGATTTTAACAGTATCATATCTTTTCCCATAAACAATTACAATCTTGAAAAAAATATAATTTTTGTTTTGGTTACATAATATTTGTGGAATTTTCTTTTCTTTAAATTGAAATAAAATGATTCTTTTGAATTGGCATAAACTCTTCTTTTGCTTAAAGTATTTTAGTTTAAGAAATGCTTTTGCTTTTTAGCTCACCTGAGCCGAAGGCTCAAGTGAGGTTTTCTGATCAAAATTTGTCCGTTGTCTGTCGTCGTCGTCGTCGTCGTTGTCGTCGTCGTCGGCGTCGGCGTAAACTTTTCACATTTTCATCTTCTCCTCAAGAACCACGGGGCCAATTTCAACCAAACTTGCGACAAAGTATCCCTGAGTGAAGGGGATTCAAGTTTGTTCAAAAGAAGGGCCACGCCCTTTTCCAAGGGGAGATAATCATGAATTAGAGAAAAATTATTGGCATTTTTAAAAAATCTTCTTCTCAAGAACCACTGGGCCAGGAAAGATGAAACTCATGTGGAATCATCCTCAGTTAGTGTAGATTCTAATTTGTTCAAGTCATGACCCCGGGGGTAGGGCGGGGCCAAAATGGCCGATCAAAGTTTAACATAGGAATATATAGGAAAAATCTTCACAAATCTTCTTCTCAAGAACCACTGGGACAGGAAAGATGAAACTCATGTGGAATCATCCTCAGGTAGTGTAGATTCTAGTTTGTTCAAGTCATGACCCCCGGGGGTAGGGCGGGGCCAAAATGGCCGATCAAAGTTTTACATAGGAATATATAGGAAAAATCTTTAAAAATCTTCTTCTCAAGAACCACTGGGACAGGAAAGATGAAACTCATGTGGAATCATCCTCAGGTAGTGTAGATTCTAGTTTGTTCAAGTCATGACCCCCGGGGGTAGGGCGGGGCCAAAATGGCCGATCAAAGTTTTACATAGGAATATATAGGAAAAAATCTTAAAAAATCTTCTTCTCAAGAACCATTGAAACAGGAAAGATGAAACCCAAGTGAAATTATCCTCAGATAGTGTAGATTCAAGTTTGTTCAAGTCATGACCCCCGGGGTAAGGGTGTGGCCAAAATGGCCGACCAAAGTTTTACATAGAAATACATAGGGAAACCTTTTTAAATCTTCTTTTCAAGTACTTCAAAGCCAGGATTAGTTATATTTGTAAGGAATCATCCTCAGGTAATGTAGATTCTAGTTTGTTCAAATTATGATCCCCTTGGTGGTTAAAATTCAAGCCCCCCCCCAACTTAAGTTAACTTCAGTTCTGATCTGATATGTGTTTTTTCCTAGCTGATGTGCTCAGGTGAGCGCTGTGGCCCCTGGGCCTCTTGTTTAATTATCTGTATATCAGGATTTTCCTTACTGGACAAAGCAGTCAGATGAATAATATGAGATTAAATGACATGTGATATGTTAGATTAGATATGAATAAAACGAACAACTCTTACAAGTTAGTAACAAGTTAATAATAAGATAATAAAACAGTCTCAGATTTAATTCAAATTTTCAAACGCCTGTAAATTATTATTATTGAAATAATTTCTAATTATGCAGATAACAACACTTTTCTCAGGTAATATTATACATTTATTGCATGATAGTGAGGGAAATATGAAGACTTATTCAGCCAAGAAAAATCATATTCCCCGAGGGCTTCGCCCGAGGGGAATATGGTATTTCTTGGCTGAATAAGTCTTCATGTTTCTCGAACATCCATGCAATGAATTGTTTATTATACCGAAACAAGCAAAACCTTTGAAATAAACATAAACTTTCAGATTCGGCACCGCTCTCAAATTCTTTTTCATTTTTAACAAAACGTTACTAAAACTTTGGTCAACACATTATCATCAATTTTATGACGTAAACCAGATCATTGTGACGTCTACTATACTCTCGGGAGTTTTCTTCAAACGAACGATAATTTTTGCGGGAAAATGCACTAAGTATCCGAAGAGGTGGAATATGATGAAAAGCATGCCGACGGCCGGGAAATATGAAATTTTACGGCCCAACCACGTTATATTATTATAATGAGGTATAATAATATACAATGATGGACTCTTTCGGTGGTGAAAATGGTTTGTTATCCACCAGAATTTATCAATATTGACCGAGGCAGAGGTCAATATTGAAATTTCTCTGATGAATAGCAAACTATATTCACCACCGTAAGAGTTTATAATTGTTTTATTGTATAGTTCGGATTTAAACAAATAATGCATCGAAGACTGCATGATGACACCCTTTTAATTTAAGAACTTCCATCGTTGAAAAAAAGAATAAAATGTTCAGATTATAAGTTTTAACTTCTATGTCTTCCTTTCCAAGTCTTGCTAAGTGTAAGTCATTGAAATGTTTAGAAAATAATTCTGCGATATATCCGTGTAACATTTTCTTTTACCGCTGGCTACGGCCGTTACGACCATTGTTTACAGCGTTGTTTGTGATATGATTTGTGACGTACCAATGGATCTGCGCGCGCACTGATCCTCGGGTGAATACGGTCTCAAATTTGTCGAATGTTTAGTGTCATGAACTGTTTTCGTATGTATGAAACATATGGAGATAATGAACAGTATTCGAGATCAAAAATCCATAAAACGATACAAAATAGAAGCAGAGCCAACACAGACTTCAAATACATCAGAGGTTGGATCAGGTACCATGGAGGAGTGAGCATCCACTGCTGACCGGTTATATAGGGACTATTTATTGACTATATAATAAAAAAATCAATTCTGGTCTGCATATCTTTAAATTTACTTCAACATAAGGATTATGACTTAAAGTTACAAAGTATTTTTTTTAATGTGTTGATTCAATTTTATTGCCTATTTAAGGAAAATATGTGACACCTTTGGAAAATTTATCAACGGTCGTTTTGTATTCACATATTATACCATTTACTGATGTTGTTAAATTCGTATCCCTTAGTCCAGGCATTATACCGAAATGTGAAATCAAATTATCATTCATGCATTTTAAAAATGTATTATACATTTTTAAAAAATTTGGATGTTCATGATGGACATCTAGCATTTTAATTATATCTCTAAATACAATGAACTGCAAACAAAGCAAGCCAAATATTATCAGCTGCATTACCAGAGTTATGGATTAATAGAAGCGTAATATCTCTATATAGGTATGCATTCTATGAATACCTATCTGTTCTTCTGCTACTGTTTTTCTTCCCTTCGAGACCTCTTTGATTAAAAATGTACGATGCAATTTATATCGACGAATACAGAAATTTGACTTCTTAGACAGCTAGCATCGACATTAATCTAGATGTAGTCAAATTTCTCAAAATCTATTGTCGAATGGTCGAAATAATGACATCATTCACAAATAGAATCTGATGTAAGGTCAAATATTACATGAGGCCATTCATGCAAATTGTTAGGCAATGCTCTGTGCATTATCTGTATTGTTTCAATTTTAGCTAACCTGAGCTGAAAGCTCAAGTGAGCTTCTATGATCACATTTTGTCTGTAGTCGGTCTGTCTGTCTGTCCGTCTGTAAAGCTTTTCACATTTTCGACTTCTTCTCAAGAACTACTAGGCCGATTTCAACCAAATTTGCCACAAAGCATTCTTGGGTAAGGGAGTTCAGTTTCTTCAAATGAAGGGCCGCACCCTCATTCAAGGAGAGATAATTCAGAAATAGTGAAAATTTGGTGGCATGTTTTAAAAATCTTCTTCTCAAGAACCACTGTGCCAGGAAAGATGACATTTATGGGGAAACATTCTTAGATAGAGTAGATTCAAGTTTGTTCAAATCATGACCCCCGTGGGTCGGGCGGGGCCACAATAGCCTACAGTGTATCAAAGTTTTACATAAAATTATAGGAAAATTCTTTAAAAATCTTCTTCTCAAGAATAGCAAAGCCATGATTGATCATATTTATATGGAAGCATCCTTAGGTAGTGTAGATTCAAGTTGGTTCAAATCATGGTCCCATGGGTTGGGTGGGGCCACAATGGCCGACCAAAGTTTTACATAGAAATATATAAGAAAATTCTTTTAAAAATCTTCTCAAGAATAGCAAAGCAATGATTGGTCATATTTACATGGAAGCATTCTCATGTAGTGTAGATTCAAGTTTGTGCAAAACATACCCTCTCCCCTTTAAGGAATGGTTTGGATTACTTTAGGGTTTCAACTTTTCAATAATAAACTAATTTCTGCTTTTATGCTAGCCACAGGATCAGGTGAGCGATGTGGCCCATGGGAGTTTTGTTGAATATGGTTATAATTCTTTGTCTTTACAATCGCCTTTAAAGGCAAGAGCAGAGGGGGATTTTAAAATCCTTTTCGTTTCATAATATGGCATAATAAAATCAGAATTTACCAATGCCATTAAATTGATTAAATCATATAAGTATGTATATATGCATAGAATTACTTCCACAAAATTATTGCGCCGATTTTAGAATTAGAAAAAAAAATATAAAAAGAACAGGAAGTTGATTCTCAATGTGTAATTTCCGTGCAGAATTATACACTATAACTGCAAACTATATCTGAAACATATTTAAGAGGAAGGATGTGCTTTTTAGTGATCCTATTGATAATTTCAATACCCGATGGTAAGGAAAACATTTTACAGAAATTTATTATTATTATTTGTAAAAGAAATTATATTACATGATTTGTACATTTTTTTAGATTGTGTAATGGCATCTGTAAAATTCTCTGAAATAAGGGACACAAACAAATGTCAGATAACCTCACCTGGATATCCTGATCACTATCCAAACAATGCAAACTTCACTTGGATTATTAGAGCTGGACGCAATGAATCTATATTTACTTTTGTTATTGATGACATGGATATCGAGATATTCAACTCGGGTTTTTGTGACGACTATCTTGAGGTAATATTACATAAATATTGCATGTAGTTGAGTGTAACATTAAAAATTTTCACCCCAAGAAAAACATTGCCAACCGAGGCATAAATTTTGCGCAGTCGCTATTTTTTGGAATATCACCCGTCGTCAAGCAATGTTGACTGTTGCTACGCTGGAGGGCGTGGCTTCATTATTCAGCGGGTAATAGTGCTTTTTAACAAATGTTTCTCGACCAATCAGATTCAACTAATTTACATGAAAGTATAATATTAATTCATATTTAACCGAATATGTATCGAAGTATCCGAATTTGGTAATAGTTTACAAATATTAATTGGGGTTGAGGACAACATTAGTCATATTATCTCCCAAGGAATGTTATATATTATTAATGCTTTTAAATAAAATTCTGATTTCATTCATTAGCATTTTCAGCAACACTGCAACATTTGCACTTTGATCTTCATGTTCCCATGATTGTGTTAACTTATTTTATTGTAAAGTTATGGATTTTTATTTTGAGTATATGGTATCGTTACGTCAAAATAAATCAGAAATATTGTGGGAAATTTCCCTTTATCAGCCAATAATTATAATAAAATGAATATAATTATATATTTTTCGGTGTAAGTAATATCAATTGAGTATTGAGACTATCCTTTACTGTGTATAACAATATCGAATATGTGATGGGTTCCAAGGGCAATGATATAAAATAATGATTATTCTGTAAACTATGTACAAAACATGAGTTTTTCTCATTTCTTCCTTTCTGCGTTTGCAGATGTGTGTTATCTAGAATCCATCATTATTTTTTGCAGATCAAGGAAATTGAGCCATGTTGCTATACCGCATTTAAAGAATGTGGGAAAATAACGGAGAGGACTGTTCACACAAAAGGAAAGGAAATCGAGATATCTTTTATATCCGACAGCACCCGAAGCGCAAAAGGCTTTAACTTGTCTTGGACGGGTACATGTAACATTGTTTCCAAAAAATGTATGTTAATATAGCTTTGTTGATTTTTCTAAAACCAGTAATAATGTACCTGTGCCGTAAACGGACTGCCATCACTAAAAAGTAAAGAATATAAAAAAAAATACATCCAAAATATCAACTTACCCACAAAACAAACAAACAAACATATTGTATTCAAAAACTTACAAAATACTATAAATGGAGTTTTATCAAGTACTAAATATTCCATGTACAAGTCTAACTACCTTTGACCTAATAGCAACAATGGGAAATATAATTTCAAACTAATCAAAGATAGTAATCTTGAAAACAAAACTAACAACATCTGATAATAATTGAATATTCAAAATAATAACAACACAGTGTATTGGTAAATGCTCATAGACGTGCGCAATTATCCACAAATCAAGTAAATAGAACACACCAAAATTTGCTTCCATTTCTTGAAATAGAATTCGGTTAAGTATACCAACAACGAAAAAATTACATTTAAAATGCATATTCAATTCATTTAATAATGAACATATCAATACCCGCTCAACTAAATAATATGCAAATAATGGTTGGTTGTAAAGCGTGTAAGAAGCGCAAAAACTTGAGCTCAAATGACCAAAAAAAAAGCACACACACAGAGAATGTCAGTTACTCTCTACATAACCTGTCTAACTAGTATTACTACACACTACCTCTTACAGACTATAAATAGCAACCATCCGATCAAAACATGTTAGTTTTATCAGCCTGCAGTAAATATATTTCCCAACGCCACATAATATTATTAAAGTATTAATCAAAAGAACTAAGGTAGTATTGTCTACTGAAAAACTGCAACAACTCCGCGTTCGTACTATCGATACCTCATTACAAACTACAAACTGTCGCAAAATACGCTAAAAAAATCAGAAATATTGCGTACCAGATCATCAACCATAAACAGATAATACACGATTCCCGAATTCATACGATACGAAAAATTGTGCGAATTTTTCACCAGAAAATGGAAACAGTTAAACAATAACATATCACATCCTAAAAAATCACTTCTGGAATAACCCTAGTTCAACAAATGTACAGAAGAAATATAGTTTAATCATCATCATTGTACTAGTAGTGTCACCAAATTTGTCTAACAGTATTTAATTTAACTTCATTCACCAGCACCACACATAAAGCCGAAGACTACAAGTAGAATATATCCTTCCAGTAAGACAACAAATTTAACAAACACTCCTGGAAGATATACAACAACTGCTCCGTCAACAAAACTGACAATCACTTCGTCAACAATCACTCCATCATTAAGAACAACAATTGCGTCAAGTCCATCGTCGACATCTCCGATAGTACAAAGGAAGACAACATATACCCAAGTAAAACCAATGACAACTCTTTTAACAACACACTTGGCAACAATGTCTAAGTCAGAAACCCATATGTTGACAGGTATGAATTTAAAAATTCTGAACTAGTCTAGAGAAATAAAAACCTGAGAAGCAAACAACACCAAATAGTTAATGGTTAAAGAATACTAGTCGAACAAATTAGTTCTACAAAAACATTGCATTACATTTCGATTTTTTTTTAATTTTGAAAAGAACAAGAGGCCCAAGGGCCGTATAGGTCACCTGAGTATTATGTAACAACTTTCCAGCAATTGAATTTGGTATGTGTTCTTTAAACCAATTAAAGCTATGAAATTCACAAATTTGAAGGAAGCAGCATTGTTTATCATAATTAATGTACACTAAGCATGCTTACTTTAGTGACTGAATACCCAAAGAAACAAAGAGAATTTCCACTTTATAACCACCAATTGTACACCCCATCCCGCAAAAACCACCAACCTTTTACAAAATTTTGGAAATTTTATTATTAGTTTTATTTTATCATAAATGGCTGATTAATATCAAAGAGCAGATTTCAAGGCATTGATTTTTTTTTCAGTCTAAGTACACCCCTCCTCCGATACCCCTGACGCAGGGGCTTTGAAATTAATTATTTTGAAAGAGGAACCTTTTTCTTCATCATAAAAATGTACTTACATCATTGGCATAATTTCCAGGAGCAAAGGAAAGGATTTTCAAAATATTCATACATTTTCACTATATAATCATTAGAGTACCGCCCTGACCTAGGGACTCTGAAATTCACAAATTGGAAAGAAGCAGCATTCCTGATCTTAACTATGTACACAGTTCATTGGTTTAATACCCAGGGCAGGAGCAGAGGAGAAGATTTTTAAAGAATTTATGCATTTTCACAATATAATCAATAATGCCCCACCCTAACACCAGAACCCCTGACTCAGGGGCCATAAAATTCAAAATTGTGGAAAAGATAGCCCTATTCAACATAACAGTGTACTTTGTTTATTTAATGCCCAGGAGCAGAGAAAACGATTTTTAAAAGAATAAATGTATTTCCACTATATTTTTAATAGAGCCCCGCCCTAACACCATAACCCCTGACCCAGAAGCCATAAAATTCACAATTTTGGAAAAAGCAGCCTTAGTCAAAATAAACATGTTCTTGGTTAATTTATTTAATACCCAGGAGCATAGAAGAAGATTTTCAAAGAATTGATGCATTTTCATTATATAATCTATATAGCCCCGCCCTAACACCAGAACCCCTGCCCCTGGGGCCATGAAATTCAAGAATTTTTGGAAGAGGCAGCCTTTTTCTTGGTTAGTTTATGTAATGCCCAGGAGCAGAGAAAAAATTTTCAAAGAAATAATGCATGTTCACTATATAATCTATATAGCTCCGCCCTAGCACGAGAACCCCTGACCCTGGGGTCGTGAATGTCACAATTTTGGTTGAGGAATCAATGCTGATTACAATCATGCCAACAGTTAGATTACTGGTATTGACGTCAAGGAGTAAAGAAGAAAAGTTTTAAAAATTGCTTTAATTTTAGTGATTTTGGCCTCAGGGGGGGGGGGACCATGAAAGTCACAAATTTTGTTCCTTTCACACATAGATGCTTTGTGCCAAAATTGGTTGAAGTTGATTGAGAGGTTGCATAGAAGAAGCTGAACATATTCAAATGTTAACACACGACGGACGAAAACGGATAGCAATAGGTCACATGAGTTTACTCGGGTCACCTAGTTATTAGAAAAGGGTCCACAGTCAGAAAAATATATCAAGTCATGAAAATAATAAATGGATAAGTGCCAACTATATCTTAGCAATGACAGCATTCATGACATTTACAGATATTATTTAAAATGCGAAAGCACCGTTTTATCAAAGTCCTGACATATTTGGTTTCAAAGATGCAAATCTCATTTATTCAATTTGAATTAAAGATGATGATAAAGGTCAAATTTGTAGGCCCTAGAAATGTGAAATATGCATCAACGTGCTTAGAAATAGAAAAAACTCGATGATTCAAAAGATACAAGTGAAAGTTGATAGTAGACATAAAAAAAAGATCAATCTTCGAAAAATCTTTTATCAAGAAATAATCCCACTAAAAATCTAAGTATTAAATATCTATGAAGATATACCTTAAAACAATAAAACATGGGGGTAGACCATTACGAACCTCTAAAACATCAGAGGTAGCAACCGACGGAAAGTAAAACAAACTTCCCATGTTGACCTGTCACAGCCGCTGAGTTTTCCTTATCATGATTTTGCAAACAGGAAATCCCTAGATAAATCAGTGTGAAATATGTAATGGCCTAACACTCTGCACAAATTGATTTATTTTTTGTTTGTTGTTTGATGTACTTCTCGAGAATTTTTCACTCATTTGTAGAGGTCACCATTTGCCGGTGGAGAGCTGTAATTTTTTAACTATATTCAGTACTTATGGCAATTGAGAATGAGGGATCTTTTTTGTGCCAGCATCTACTCAGGGACTCTAGAACAGCAATTTGTATGAAAAAAATCAGGCAGCAATTGACTTCATGATATATTTTATTTGCCGAAAAGGTCATTATTACTACCGAAGAGTTCACAAAATTTTGATTTTACAGGCCTATAAGAAGCAAAGTCAGTTTGGGGAGGCACAGCCGAACAATTGAGTTGGGGCACTATCTACTACCAAAATTTCTTGACAAGCCAAAAAATTAATAATAGACTTATTGTTCACAGAACTGGTTTTCACAGAACAATAAGAGGTCAATTTCCTACCTTTGAATTTTAATTTTATTTTATACTTAACTCTTGTAATTTAAAAAAAACGAGTTATAAAACGAAAGTGAAAGTAAATGAGATTTAGCGACCTATATTCTTGGGAGCCGTTGTTATTTCATAAATAATTTGAATAGGTAATATCACCTATTCAAAATCTATTATACCTTTGCAAAAACGTGTACTGGTTTTCAATTTTCAGGTAAACTCTACAAAAAATAATTCAAACTGTCATTTACAATGAAAATGAGATATCAACATGATTAATAAAGGAGTTCTTTTTTTCTATATAAGACAAAAGAAATATTTCCATATATTCTAGAGTCTCTCGGAAAACAGTTATTTACATTATTAATCTCCTATCTAAAATGATATTAGATTGAATATTTGTATCGGGATAATTTATGACATGCTTTTAAATTGAATTCCATGAAAATGGTTTTTTCTACTATATTTCCTTATAACTAGATTTTGATATTTATCATGTTTATATGCTTGAGTTCTCCATATAATGCGAGCGCGATTTCATATATTTTGTGTTATACTGCATTTAACATTACATTCGTCAATCAGTTTTTGGCATCTAAATGCCGTACTACATAGAAAATTAACACAGTTATACATAGAATTTATCAGAAACAAGTCTTGTAAAGGTAATAATTAATTTTTATGGTGATGCATAAGGTATGTAAGCAATTTTTTTTCTAGTGTATGTTATATCGTCTTATGTGTTTGATTATTGGAGAGGATAAAAAATTAGAAATGCAGTGCATAAGCTTCAAAACCTGGTTACATTTACCGTAAATACGTCGCTTTTGTAATTTTTTAGGCTTCGTGATTATTGGAATATGCATTTTTGCATCTTGTGTTATTATCAGTGGAATGCTTATTGTGATGCGATATCGTTCAAGGTAAATACTTTTACTTTAAAAATTTTATTTGATAACGTTGATTTTGTATAGTTTCTAACAAATGAAACGCTTGTATTTCATCGTATCAATTAACCTTCGTACTGTATGCTTTATAAATTTATTTCATCTAAATAAGATTTAAGGTATTCATTATTTTAGAAAACTTTCCTTTTCAATACAGAGCACCAAAAGAGCATATTCTTCATAAAGAACCGGCTGGTATTGGTGATTTAGTTACTCCCTCGACAGAGAAAGGAGCTGGTATTGCTTTCGATTTGGCGCCTCTTGAGTATACCATGCCAAGTAACGTCAACAAAAATGACGAAGCTGTGTACGTAGAAAGTCCCGATAATATCTATGATAGCACACTGATCCGTAGACCCCACGTTTTCCAGCAAAACAACATTTATCAGACAAATGAAGGCATCTACAACGTAACGTTTGCAAAAAGAGATCATGACATTAACAACGACTCAAATCCATACCAATCTTGTGAATAAACAACATCCCATGAAAGGAATGAAAAAATTAGTAAAAAATCACGAACTAAACATTTTAATGATAAGTAAAGCTACAGAAAAACAAGAGAACCAGATATCAAAGAGTTTATCAAAGATTTCCGAAGATGACTTGTACCCGGCGAGAAAAACACAATGGCGGGAAATTTTCTTGTTCATGTTTTGTTCATTTGAAATTAAGAATGAATAAAGGATTGCATGTCACATACAGTCGTGCATGTTCCTAGAGTATAGCTGCATTTAAAAATCATTGCATACGTACGTATTGATGATACTGAGATTTTTTTTTTTTACAAAAGTTCTTTTCCAGAGTTCAGGTTTTCAGAATCCACTTTTGATCTACGCCACGTTTTGCATTATGCCACATGATTATAGACTCAGTGTATCATTTTCAAGGCCACATATATTTAATGGAGCAAATCATAGGGTGCTATTCCACCATATTGTTAAATGTAAAATAAATTCATAAAATTTTGAATAGTATTTAAAGATATTCTGAAATGTCGTAGTAATAAAGATTTTTACACTCTCAGACAAGAAAGACGATGTTTAAAAAACCTACCATACTACCATGATTGTGTAGTGTTGATTAAATAACTCGCATTAAAGGTACTTGGACACAGATTTGAATTCAATATTTTCTCTAAAATATTACAACTGATATATTTTAATAGCATTTAACACAAAAATTAATTAAAAATCTTATTTCAGTTAAAAGTTTTTAAAACTTGAAAATTTTTTTGGTGGGTTTTATTGACTCATCCTTGCACTTTCACAAATTTTAACCTTATTCTTAATCCTTAGGAAAAGTGGCAATCTTGTTGTAGGCGACATTTCCTATTCTTCCAATTTGATTAAGTTTATCTTCCTTGATTTAAATTATGTTGAAGAAATATTCATAACTTTATACCATATAAGGAGGTTTTTATTTCATCTTTTGAAGCCACTAATGCATGTAGCCAATCAGGTGTCGTTTATAAATAGAAATAGTTATGTTAAATACTTCTAAAATGAAGACAAAAATTAAAATTAATCTCCTGTGTAAGTACATTATCTCATAAATATTTCTCTATGAAGATATGAATTTGAGTATTCCACGAATAAATCGAGACGAAATGACTCTTTTTAATTTGTATTTCCCCTATCATTTTAACACACTTACAACATGTACTCTGCGATATTTAGAACAAAAGGCCGCGGGACTACATCGCTCACTTGAGCAACTGGCTAGATTAAAGCAAAAATTAGTTCAGTATTGAAAATGTTAAAATAAAAGTTGGTTCAGGGAGGGGGTATTTGAACAAACTTTTATCTATAGTTCCTATGGATGCATTTAAATCAATACGATACATAATTACTTTGCTGTTTACAAGAGAATTTTTTTTTATTGATATAGCTTTCGTATTCCTTTGTTTAACTATGATTCACTTTAACAACTCTTCTATTCTCCTGGTAGGTCATAATTTGAACAAATTTAAATCCACATTACCTTTTTTGATGCTCTTACATTGATGATCGATCACGGTCATCTTTGATACACTTCACGAATTTTAATGATTTTTCCTATGTATTCCTACATAAATGTAAAACCTTGATCATTTATTGTAGCCTCACTCTACACCCGGGCTCATGATTTGATCAAACTTGAATATACATTAGGATGATTCCATTTAAATATAAACAATCACAACTTTGCTGTTCTCAAGAATTTTAAAGATTTTCTATGTAAATATATTTAAAACTTTGATCACCTGTTATAGTCCCGCCCTAGCCCCAGGGGTCATGATTTGAACAAAGTTGAATCTACACTATCAGAGAATGCTTTAATAAAGATATGACCAACCATGACTTTGCTGTTGTTGAGAAAAAATTTTTTTAAAGATTTTTCTTATGTATTCCCATGTTAAACTTTAAGCCTCCATTGTGGCCAACCCAGCCCCCTGGGGTCCTGATTTGAACAAACTTGAATCTAAACTACATGAGAATGCTTTCATATAACTATGATCAATCATGGTTATGCTGTTCTTGAGAAGAAGTTTTTCTTTTAAAGATTTTTCATACGAGTATGTGTTCCTATGTTAATCCTTGATCCCCCATTGTAGTCCAATCCTACCCTTGTGGGTCTTGATTTGAACAAACTTAAATCTACACTACCAGAAGTTGATTTCATATAACTATGACTAATCATGGCTTCGCTGTTCTTCAGAAGATTCTTAAAGATTTTTCCCGTGTACCTCTATGTTAAACTTTGATACCTCACTGTAGCCCCACCCTAAAACCGGGGGTCATGATTTGAACAAACTTGAATTTATACTACCAGAGTAAGTTTCCGCATGATTTTCATCTTTTCTGGACAAGTGGTTCTTGAGAAGTAGATTTTTTTATTTTTTTCCTATGTATTCCTACGTTAAATTTTGATCCCCCACTGTGGCCCTATCCTATACTTGGGGGTCATGACTTCAACAAACAGCAATTTACACTATGTAAAGATGCTTTCACATAGGTTACCTCTTTTTGGCCCAGTGGTTCTTGAGAAAAAGCTTTTTTAAAGATATCATTAATATTTCTCTAATTCAAATTTATCATCCCTTTAAAGAGGGCGTGGCCCTTTATTTGAAAAAAAAAGAATCTTCTCACCCAAGGATGCTTTGTGGCAGGTTTTTCTTAAAATGGTCCAGTGGTTCTTGAAAAGAAGATGAAAATGAAAACGGTTTACAACAACAACACCGACGAAGACAATAACGACAAAAATGACAACGACGACAGACAAATTTTGATCAAAAAAGCTCACTTAGAGATCAAAATTCACTGTAGTCCCTACTAGTCTCTGCAAAATAGAAACTACAGTTTTAGTTGAAAATATGTAAAAATTTAACTTGGGCGCTTGGTGATTTCATATCAATAAAAATGACATAATTTCCTCTCCAGTCTATGTAATATAACGTCAAAAATTGTGCCAGTTTCCCAAAATCCTGAACATTTTTGAATGGCCAAAAATTTCGCTGTATTTATTATTTTGCTTAGACCCCAAACAATGATTTAATATGTTTAAAGCACTGTTTCAAATATTCCTTCAATGAATTTTCTTTGGATTGTTGCTGGGTTCATATTTTAACTATTAGCTGAAGAAGCTCAAATTCATTCTACTGTTTGAAAAAAAAATTACAATTAAACAAAGTCTAATTTGAAATACCTGGAGTCTCAAAGGAACCTATTTTTATAAGAAATGAAAGCACAAAATCTCTTAATAATGATGTTTAAAATTGGACAGAGACTTATTCAGTTAATTGGAATAGATACAGGGTCGCTTTTTTAGAGTTAGAGAAATTAGCCTTTATTACTCCGAATTCAAAATAAAAAATGAATTATAACGTAAAACGGGAAGTTGATTCTGACTATGTAATTTCCATATCACGAAATAGTTATACACTATAGCTGCAAAATATATGATCTGAAATACATACTCAACGAGAAGGATGTACGTCTTAGTGATCCGCTTTATAATTGGACTAGCCTTTGGTAAGGAAAGTATTTTGTAGAATTTTGTCAGCGTTATTAAAAAAATTGCTACTTTTTTTTTTACACCTTTATACAGATTTTTCAGATTGTGTATTGGCATCTTTAAAAATATTTAACTTAAGGGAAACAAACAAGGGTTATTTTAACTCACTAGGATACCCTGCTCACTATGCAAACATTGCAAACTTCACTTGGATAATAAACACTGGATACAATGGACGTATCTTAACATTTGTAATTCATGACATGGATATTGAGAATTTCAACTCGGGTCCCTGTGACAACGACTATCTTGAGGTAAGTTATCCATCTTTAACATCTTTAACCGAATCTGTATCGTATTGTCTTTCTGACATATATTTTCTATTTATCAAAACAAATATGCATTATGACTACTTTTTTAAGTAGCTACTAATTTAAAAGTAGTCTTAAATTGTTTTCAACTTACTTTATGTTGACCTGCTCCGCAATCCAACTTCTACATTTTTACAATCTGAATAAGTTTTAAATAAATCGTAATATTTGTTTTTTGTTTTTTTTAAATAAGTACAAAGCACTTGGATTTATTTTTAAAATATTTTTATCAAATTTGGATTACATATGACGTCAAATAAAAAAGATATGACAGAAGTCAACGACATTTTCGAACAACCCTCGTACATGTAACAATGTAAATCGCATCGATCGACTAGTAAACATGAGCGAAGTATATTTAATGTACATTGATTTGACATGGAGAATTAAACGAAAATTATCCCAAAAATTAATACATGGTAAACATAATTTAACATTTTTAAAAGTTTTAAAATGTGAATTGATGTATTTATGATTATTATATTTATTATTTATTCAGAAAATTAATTCAAATCTTCAATAAAATAATATTAAGAATCAATTCATAAGATTACATTTTTCTTATTGTCTATCAAGATGTTATCTTAACATCATTAAAATAATTTTTTCTTAAATTGGATTATCACTTTGAAAGATTATTGGATTAAACACCGGTATCACAATACCAATATAGACAGAACGATTAAATGGAGGATGCCAATGTTTAGATTGCAATTAACACTAGACCCACTCAACCTGTCTGTGTTTATTTAGAGTCAACAGTGGTTTCATAGTGACAGACTACTATTAAAATACACAATCACATACATGTGTACTGTTTATATTTAATTTTTATTTCAGATGGCAAAGAACTTACGAGGGGTGATCAAAACGTTCGCGAACAAATTGAATAACTTCCATAAAACAAATAAAATTGCGTTTCAGTGTTCATAATTTTTAAAGTAGCCCTCTCTGATTTTAATGCACATCTGCAACCGTTCTGTCCATGCGTGAATCACGTTGTCCCGGCAGTCACGTGACATGCTTCGAAGCAGTATGTTCATAGAGGCTAAAATATTGTTCCGAGTCTTATATTTCTTATCTTGCAAGTTAATTTTTATATCAAGAACAGTCCATTTGTCAGAAGTGACAAAATCTCGAAAATAGGATGGTTTGATAAGGATATGCTTTGCCAGAAAGAGCATGGTTACTATCACAACCCGAGTCATCTGTCTTAGGAACGTGGTTTTCCAATATGAATATA